ACACACCCGCAGCGCACGCCACTTACGCGCGCGCCACCGCACACTACCACACACATCACACACACATTCACGCACGGCTGCGCGCGCGCGCGTCACACACACCCACACCCACACCACTGCGCACTAGCCGGCGCGCGCTACAGACACACACGCTAGCGTCGCTTTGACACGTACGTAGATGGCATTCCATACTAAGCCAACCAATCGCGAGTTCACAGAATTACTTAATACACTATAGTTCATCACTGGACGAACCAAGTCCCACCGTTGAAGCTATAATTGATAAAGTGGAGTGATGCTTTCAGTTGCTGCTTCTAGTAACTATAGCCGCGTACCGGGTTGCGCAGGCCTGTGCCTGCATGCACCGCTACGCGGAGCTATAGTTACTAGAGCTGCTTCAGTTGGGCAAATATTTGCCGCACTGTGTCCATTCGGTGAATATGTGAACAGATTTATTTTTTAGTAAACGGAGCAAGAAAGGAAAACGGGTTTAATTGAATGCGAATCGCTGACCAATGGGCTCGTGGATTGAATGTTTAAATTTTGTCATGCCGATAGGTTTTTTAAAGGGTTTACGTTGTTAGTTCATGTTTTACTCACAAGCAAAACCCTTGCGGAATATCTTACGTGGGTCCGAGTCAATACATGAAGTGGGATGTGATTTTGCAAGGTGATTGGGTGCTGAACAGAAATAGCTCCATTTGTTTGTTTTTTATTATGATCTAATATGCTACATGATCTCTAACGAACTGCGGAACTGTCAGCACAATTACCTTGTGTTGTTGTAATACTAGGTTATTATTGTGTAATTAATTATTTTGTCATCCGGTGTGTCGCTGTGCGATATATTTATTCTTGCAAGAGTGGCAAATCAGATAACCTCTGATGGATTACCTTGTGCTCACTCTTGTAGTTTTCTGCAGCTGGGGAATTTACGGAAGTTATGCTTGCAACATACTTCATGTTTAAACACTCGGTTGCATACATGATCACCTCAATATACCGAAATGCTAAATAATACCTTTTTAGGGCAAATAAATGGACCTAACCTGTAAGGATTACTTAATGCGTCCTTCTTTGGTATTTTCAGCTCCCAATCTTTGAAGCTTTTTTCTTGCTACAAAATACTTTATTCTCATTATTTACAAACCGTGTCTGCTACATGACACCACCATTAACTACGAATGCTAATATAAAATTAGAATGTATAGTTTTTATCTTCCTCTTACAATCACGCACGCACCGGCGAAGTAACATGGGACAAACCTGTTTATTGAAATTCAATATAATTGAAATAAATGCAACATAACAAATAAAGATGCAGTATCAATGCTTTTATAATCGCTTGTTGTGCAGCATGACGATTAAATTGATGCTATGGAGTTACATTACAACTGAGTCAATAAAACGGTATACAAATTTCTCACGTAACATTAACATGAAATGCTAATATACATACGTTAAAGCCGCACAATGCGGCAATCCAAACGCTATTTCTCCCAGTTACTAGAACTTAGCAAATAACTTCGTCTGACATGCATAATTCACACTACTCTTATTGACAAATACTCTATGTCCATCCATTGAACTGCGCTGTTTCCCGCAACAATGGAAAAGGATCGCACAGTGCGAAATCACGCGGAATCAAGGCGCGACTTACCCGGCCAACGCCTAATATTGCTCTTGTCAAACAACTGAGACATCACTGTGACTGCTTCACTACGCTTGTTTTTAATCTTTGCTGCGGCCGTACGCGCTTGTTACGCGCGGCACGCCTGCTCGTGTTGTTCGGGAGATGTGGACACGTCAACAACATTGGAGCTATTTTTCAATAATACCTTTTATAGAAACGCCGCAGTCAAATTGGAGCGAACTAGAGTTTATTTTAGTCATAGTAAGTGCCTGATTATGCATGACACGAGTATTGCCTAGCTCTTAGTACTGTCTGAGAATTAGCGTTGGCATTGCGCATTGCTTGCTGCTTTTAATAAATTATATATATATATACAGCGATAATACTACGCTAATAGCAATACACGGAATGTATCCTGCATGAAGTCACTGAACGTAACATACATGTGCAATTTCAGTTACTATGATGAAATGCATCTAAGCCCACTTTAGCAAAGGCATTTACACTGATAACCTTTTGCATGGGACTATGTCATGTATGCCAACGCACACACGTGGTATTCTGCCAACGATATCACACAAAGCGTATACAAGGAATACGCTATTCGGGATCGTGATAATAATAGATAATTATTATTCATCCTTACGTAATGTACGCGCATAGGGACACATCGATTTTCTGCAACATATCACACAAGCTTTATACAAGGAATAACATACTGGCATGGAGTGTATGCACATGTCTTGGTCAGATACCACTAGTATAGTATTTAATAATGCAGCAAACAGTCATCCTGATTAATCTATACACACTGATGGTATCATCCTAATGATATCTAGTCGTCCTCTTAGCAGGAGTAAAGAAAAAGTCTGCTAAAGGTCGGTTTAGGGAAAACAACCCTATGACTACATATACGATACCTCTTGGACATTTAGCTGCACGTTTGCACACTGTCACAGGCCTTTGAGATTTAAACACAACCCTATGACAACTCTATGAGAATTCTTGGTCACATTTGCACTCGGTCAGAGGCAGGTCCTGAGAATAGATTGACAATTGCGAATATTTATAATCCCTATATATCTCGTAAAAAAACAATATTTTTAATCTTACGAAACAGCAGCGCCAGCAGATCTGCGGCTCTCTGATGGTCTGTTGCTACGGCTTATAAACGTAACATTTAAGTCGTCGTAGTTGCACCATTTGTAGGCGCAGATTACTGATGATACGCAGATTGGTACACAATCATTTCAGCAACTTCTAGATTCTGCATTACCTCCAAATCCATTGGTGTGATTCAAATCGCCTATAGTGCGCTGAATCTCCTTTCGCTTTCTGGTCCTAACCCTATTAAAATTAAAAAAATATTATTGTTGTTATTACAATTGTTAGCTTATTAAATTCTGTTGCCCTAATAATATGCAATATTTTGCCGTTATGGGAAAACAAATAGTTATAATGCGATAAGATAGAAACTACAGAAAACACGCGTACATAATAAAAATCAGATGGGATTCCGTAGCTCCACGAGCCTTTGAGCTGTGACGCTTGCTGTAGGGCTGTTCGGCTATCCATGCGTTTATTTGGGTTTCATAGTATGGTATGTTGCCCCATTGAAGTATGACACACTCTGCGTCATTGCAGGCAGTTCAGGAATCCATGTTTAACCCTTCCTCTTGTAGGGTCAAAGGTTATTCAGACACTTACCTCTTCGCACTGTCAGTGGAAAGCACATTTCATGCGTCCTTTCTATAAAGTTGATAAAAATGGTTTAGGTCAGGCCCACTGAACAAAAAGTTTTCCACTCTGTCCGTATTATGGTCATGTTTTACTCAGAAATGTCTGATATCTGATCTTTCCCTACTGACCCTTTGACTCTGTGCACCTCAATTTCGCACTTGCGTGATGAGTTTCCTGCCCACATCACACTATACACTGAATATAAGAGCAATAGTCGAGACGTTAAGATTTGTGCACATTCCGTATTACTCCTAACCATTAGTTTAAGACGTGGGAAATATTCCCTCTTCTTTACACATTTTGAACCTTTGTTTCCTTGACCCCAAATTATTTCATCCTTTTCACGATCCCCCCGACGTACCGAATATCGTGATCGATATGGTCGACGCGGGTCATAGATTTGTGCCCAACTGTTAACGGACGCGATCTCCGGACAGCGACGCTCGGACGGACTACGACGGCACGCACGCACGGATCAATCATATCGATTCTACAGCTGCATCTGGACTACGTCGATGATCGCTAAAATACTACCTGATTACTGGGCGTAAGCACAAGACATTGAGATCTAGGATCTATTGTAGAGCTCTGCCATATAACTACTTTATTCCATTTTAAAAGTTTATAGAGGTGCTGAGGTTTTTACAATCATCTTTCGAAGTTCTCTTTCAACCATCTGGTTACTTTCATTCGACATACAGTCTACCTGGCGCGGATCAAAGGTAGCCTCTAGTCCATCATCATTTCCAGTAGGTATGTTCTAAAACAAACGCTTAGCGACAAAGCGACTGCAGAGTCAAGCCACGTGCCCGTAAAACACGGTACAGCACGTGACCGACGCAACCGCACCTAGCACGGTATCTAGAGAGGCGATCTCTTGCTGCGAGCCAGACGATGCCTCAGCCTCCTCATCCTCACTCTCGGCCACTGCAGCGAAGCATCGCTCCTAGCAACGCCGACGCGGACGCCGGGTGACGTGCAACGACGCAGGCTCCCGCGTCTGTTCACGACCGGTGCGCCGACACTCGCAGCGGAATCCGCTTCCTTACCGTGCAAGCGTCCCGCGTACAGGGCGGCGGCGCCGCAGGCATTCTGTTCGCCGCGGGAAGCGTGGCGCCGCGGCGCGAACGAGGCATGGTCCGCACAGCGTTTCCCTGGGAACGAACCTCGATCCCTTTCTCGACTCGCTTCTCCGCGTCGGGCGGCGAGCATGGACACCTCTCCGTCTGAGCCGCCACGCGGCGTCGCCCCCCGTCGCAGCAGTGGTGGCCCACCTCTGCGTGGCGCCCGCGACGGACGGCTCTGGTCTGCGCGGCGCCCCGCCGATACCTCTGTCGCGTCTGTGCACGGCCGGGGGCCTTTCGCGCTGCCGCGGGGGGCCGGCGGGCTGTGGTTGTTGAGAACAGGGTGAGGTGAACGCCGGTCGCTCGCGGGCGGCGAGGCAGCCGACCGTACTGAAACGCCGTAACCGGCCCGGCCCGGCGGGGCTGGCCTTGGTTGGTCACTGTGAAACGCCCTCCGTACCGCGGTCGCGCTGTGTGGTGGTGTTGTGGGTGTGGTGTTGCTTGTGTCAACCGCACTATGGAGCGGGGAGAGGCGGCTTGCCGTCAGCCCGCTGCAGCGACGCCATGTCGCTCTAGGAGACGTGGTTCACCTGTCGAACTGCCAATGAGGCGCGCCGTCCGCACGCAGCCTGAGGACGTCGCATAGGGATCCGCGGCCCTGCTGGCATGCGATGGCGCTCGACCGGGCGCGGCGTCATTCCGTCTCCTTGCGTCGGCCCGACTTAGCGTACTTTCTGCGACTGACGAATTGGGGTGCAACTGAGGGCACGCTTGTGTCTGGGCGCTGCGGTGCCGGCGACGGCTGCAAACTGCTATGGTTTTGTTGCAGGCGTTGGGCTATTGCGTTCCGGGTTAGCCGTTTTGACTGCATTAGGTTGTAGTGCTTGCGCGGTTAGTCCGGTATATGTGGAGTGGTCGAGGGGGTTTGCGCGGTTCATTGCACATGCATGTCCCTCTGAGCAGTAAGCTCTGGTTTTTAACACTGGACGACGAATCGAACTGAGGTTCCCCGGCGTTTTTCTGCGCACCGCGGCGCGTGGCTGCGATTTCAATTGTTTGCGGCGCTGGGAAATCTCTTGGGTGTTTCGGAGAAACATCGCATGCCCGTCGAGCTCCAGCGTCTGAGAGACTGCTTTCCGTGCACGGTACCGTTTGCACGTCAGGTATTACTCTTGATACAGCTTATGGTGTAAGCCCACACCCATGCTACACACAAAACATAAGTTTAGCGTGCGTATACAACTTAATATCCTATTACTACCTATGGTGTGGCTGCTTATGTGCCGACGAGATTGGGCTTCTAAGCAACGCTGCTGCTGCTGGAATCTCCCTAGTGCTATCACTAAACAGAAGGATGCCTGAATAGAGTTATTTTTATCTTTCATTATCTTCGATTCATTATCAATTCTAATTTAATTTTATCGTTCTATCCCTAGAGTACTCTGTGGTGTTCGCTTCATCTACTTCTGATGTCACTCACCGATCACTGGCTGCTCCCCTTTTCGGAGGTCCGTCACCCTGTACTCGGTTGGGATGTCTCCTATGTCACTTCCACGCAGCACAACGGGTCCTGCTAATGACGATAAAGATCGCGCGAATGAGTGACACTGCTCTATCGAGCCTCAGACTGATACTTGAGAGAAGTTTTTCTCTTACTCATGCTGTTGAGTTGTAGCCCCTTGAGCATCACATCTTAACATCGCATGCAGGATAAGGTCAAGTCATTATTATACAATGATCACTCGGAGGATGTCAAGTGCCCTTTATACTACAGTATAGACAGGCAGCTGTTCTAGGGGAGGTGCTTCTGTAACACGTACGTGTTAAACTGAACAGCTATGGAAAGCGACTTGGCCCCATATCGATGAACTTGAATACATTACCCCTTCACATATCACATCATATTCTAGCTCTACCGGTGTAGCCCCTTCACTCGCGCTGCAGAGTGGTTTGCTCACGCCCCGTAGCAGGAGCGAAGGGGCTACACCAGTTGAGCTAATCATATTCAGGCTTTAAAGGAATACATTTACCACCAAAAGCAAACACTATATCGTTGTTTGTTATGCTGCATGAGTAAATAAACGTTAATGGCTGGAAAACGTGTATAAAGAAGGTGAGGAACAAGAGAAGGAAAGGGAGGAGGAAGAGGACGTGGGGGATGAGGATGAGAAGATGGGGGAAGGTGAAGAGAAAAGAGAGAAGGGTGACGAGGAAGAAGGGAAGGGAAAGGAAGAACAAGAGGACCAGAAAGAGGAGAAGGCAGAAGAACAAGAAGAAGAAGAAGAGGGGGAGAGGAGGAAAAGGGACATGGAAGAGATGGCGAAAAACGACGAAGGAGAAGAGAAACAGACGAAAACACAATAATCGAGGACAAAAGAAGAAGACCGCTTTACCCAATGCCACGCCGTACTGCATCGCTGCCGCCGGATCCGCTACTTGCTGGCATCCCTGCTTCCCCACGGAGTCGCCACCGTCACCCAAAGCCACGCCCACTTCCTCTCCGCTTCTTTCTGCGTTGACGAAGCCCTGGAGGTAGCGGTCCCACCAGAGGGGGCCTCGCGATCGCAACCTTCTCGCCGCCAGGTCCCGCTGGTTGCCCTGGCTCTGCTGCGCAGGGTATTGGGTTTTCGCGTGCGACGCCCTCTGTTGCCAAATCCTCAGCGCGTCGGCATCGTTGCTGTCGTCGTCGACGACGACATCGTCAACGGTAGCTCGGCTGAGCATGTGAGAAAGGATCTGGTCGACGGCGGACATCCCCGTTCTGCTGCCCCAGTTGTACATGACGGTGGGTGTTTTTTTAGGGGGGCCTGATTTTGCAGTGCAGCTAGACGTGTCTATACTACTAGTACTAGTATAGTATACTAATCCAGAAGCTGCTATACTCACTCACTGATCACTGTCTCACGAGTTCCTATAATAAAATGATACGCAATGAGTAATTATAAGTGAATACGAATTGTGTTATTTACTATCGATAGTCCTCTACACAACGTTAACACTGTCACAAGTTCAGGATCACCGCAGGAACACCAGTATGTACACCGATACTATACAGACTGTGCCCTATACTTTTTTTTATAATCTGACTCTATTCCACCATGTTCAGTGTTCGGTACCAGCTATATGCCTGGTATCAGAAACGATTCTTGTGCGCTAAACTAACACTGTAACAGTAACAAAAGCTGTCTGTGACTAAAGTAACACTGTAACAATAACAAAAGCTGTAACTATTCTAAAGTAACAGTAACTGATTAATTGAGAGAGAGGCGCTTGCGGTCAGGCGAATTTTCCGCTGCGCCTGCTCTGATTTTCTCCGAACATCGCCATTTCTAACAACAATAACATAGGTACTGGCACTTGGTCCACGATCTGCGATAATAGAATACTATTACAGTAAAACGAATTTTCGAATGATGCTATTTTAACACCAACATTTCTCTACAACATACTCCCAGCTAACAACTCTACTTAAGCATCACCACACGCATCAGTGTCAGAAAACGATCAGCGAACAGTAACGTAACCGTTACGATCACAGTCACTTGGAGCGTTTCAATAAATTATAATGCTAAATAAATACGAAATCTATTTACTACCAAAGTTTCCTATACCAACCAAACACAACTATATTTATGGGTCAGTGTGCAGCGGCAGCAATGGCGGCAGCCAGTATTTGTTGTAGATGGACGGCATTTACAGGAAATTGTCGGCAATAATAGTTGAAAGAGAGTATAGAAACATTAAGACTTTGGTAGTAAATAGATTCGATTTTATTTTAGCAATTAAATTTTATTGAAACGCTCCAAGTGCCTGTGGTTACGATACCAACTAGGCTCTTCGACAATCGACAATGCTTGCCCTAACTGAACTGTTGCCTTGCCTAGCTGTATTATTAGCATTAATTTACAGTAATACTAACACAATATTCGCCGACTGAAGGAACTTGCTTGTGTCCGGTCGAACTTCGCGCGAATTTTACACGTGCGATCTTCCCCAACTCCGGTTCCGTCTGCTCTGGTTTTTCTCTGAACGGTGAAGTTGAACGTCGTTTACTCACTCTCCATTCATCGCTCACGAGTGACGATGTTGGCAGTTTGGCACTTGGCAGCCGGTTTGGCAGCTTGCCATTTCTCTCCGCCCACGCGTCTGCTCTCGCAATAATGTGACGTCACATATCACGCGGCTATCTTCTAGTGTCAATGTATCTTTATATTTTTTAGACTTTATCGTAGGTATATATAGGTTCTATTACAGGTATATCTTCTATATATTTTATTAGCGTTAGGTTCTATATCTTATGTCTCTATATTATATATATTATTTCTATGAATGTGACACTGTGCATAGGTTAGAAATTATTTCCGCCGAGAGATGGCGCAGCGATGTCATAAATATCAAAGTATGTACAAGCCGCACATGGTTGAGTTCATTCATTTCACTTTTAGACGTTTCATTCAGTTTCAGCCTTTCATATGTTTGTTAGTGTCGTGAATATAACCTTAGCTTAATGCTTGTTTCGCTTTCTGAGGTACTAATGGTGTGGTCTTGTAGCCACTTGTAGGGTCATGGTGTGACAACTGACATCATAATATATTCTGTTATTCATCATTAACATATGATAATAATATTAATAATTAATATTGATATACATATTAGCCATGAGAAGATAAAATCCGCGTTTACCGTCATCCGCCCGCATGCCCGCTTTGTTCCGCCCAAAAAGTCATATAATTACAAAAATTTCAATTATTTGGAAAAAATATTCCGCTCACTGAAACATAAATACTATTAATAGACTAATCACACAGGTGTACTTAGCCTAAAACGGCAATTCTGATAGATTTTGAACAAGCTTGGGCAGTCCGGATTGTAATTGCCACGTTCTTCTTAACCCTATAGACATATATCAGAGGCGCCGGAATAAAGATTTGCGAAAAAAACCCGAAGACTAATGACACCTTCAAACCGAAAATTATTGTCTGTCTATAATAAAATATTATTATATTTATTGTCCTGTTAGTTCACTGTATTTTAACAACAGCCTGAAAAATAAAAATAATGAATAATAAAGAGCGGGCCGGCTAGATCTTGTTTATTGTCTGTACTGTATTCACTGTATATTCAGCCTGAAAAAATTAATTAATGAATTAAGAATAATGAAAAACAAGCCTCATCACGTTTTAAATCCTTGGTACGGTAAAACCGGATTTTTATTCTCATGGCCTTATGACTAATTTCCCTCTACTACCCCAGTTGTGGATCTGGAGGGGGTGGTGTGTTACAAGCTCCCGTTCACTGTTCAGCCACTGTTATGATGCTAGTAAAATGGGGCCAAACATAAAAAAGTCAGTCTGCAAGTTGAGCAAGTAATAGTGATACAGTGTCAGTGATAGAAACTAGGGATTTCCCCTGTGACCACAGAGCTGCCTGAATTTTCCAGGTGCGAGGTGGCATACCCCTGCGATCCACCGCTGAGCATACCACGTGTGCCTTCGGCCTCCCTTCACTCAAATATTGAACCCCCACCCCCCGTCCTCCAAAGCTAGATCCTCAAGAGATCGTAGATCCTGGACGGGCTATAACTCTACCAGCTCTGGTGATCACAGCTCTGTGCGCGGCAGATCCAACGAGGGTTATACTGGATACAATAATGTAGCCCAATCCGTAACTCTTGTTGGGTTACATTATTGTATGTAGGTTATACTCTACTATAACTAATTAACTGTTAGTCAGAGTTTGATGGAGGTTTTTCTATTTTGTAGATTCGGCACTACGTCGTTGCAGCCGCTGTTGATAGAAAATGTGTGGAATTCTGGCCTCATTGTAGCATTGAGATCAAAGTTCGGACATATGCCATATAGTAGTTGAACTCTGGTAATTGTATCCCCGCGACGAGCAGTCGGCAGGGATACGATGGTTTCATGTCTGTACAGGCTGCCGCCGAGAGATTTCCCTTTCCGCTGCTATACCTCAGACCTTGCCCCTAATTGACCTAAGCCGTGTACCAAACTTGGGCTCTATTAACAATCTTGGGGAGAAGGTCGGCCAGAGTACCAAAACCAGAGTCACTGCGACTTTATTTGACCTTGATCATATTCCTTATCCTGCTCTGTAACTCGGCCCTAATTGCCTATGCGCTACCAAGTGATCTAACTTACACATCTTGGGATAAGGTGAGCACGCGTACGAAAACCAGGTCACTGCGACCTTTATTTGACCTTTACCTTGACCTTGATCACTATTTCCCTTTCGCTCTGTAAACTCCGGCCCCTAATTGACCTAGCCGGTACCCAAACTTTGTCTACTGTATCACACTCTTGGGGAAAGGTGGGCAGCGTAACCGAAAACCAGTCACTTACCACTTGTTTTGACTTTTACCTTGACCTTCGCATTATATTTCCCTTCCGCTCTATATACTCGCCCTTGAATTTGACCCTAGCGGCTACCAAACTTTGGTATACTTACACATTATCTGAGAATGGTGTGTCCGTGTGACCGAAACCAGGTTCACTGTTAACCTTTAATTTGACATTGACTTTAGACCTTGCACTTCAGATCATATTCCCGTTCCCGCTCTAACACTCGGCTCTAAAATTGAACCTCAGCGCGACAATAAATTCAGTATATCTTACACATCTTGGGGAAAAACGTGAGATACATGTAGTTGGCGACCAACTGCAATTCTCTCTGTTATATTTACTTAACAACATTTTTAGACACATGTCTCATGAACTGTGACTAGGTGTTCAGAAAAGCAGTACTCAGCCTACACTCAGTAACTACACCATGATACCGTTTTTGCAGCAATTTATTTTACATTCAGGTTGAGCTGCTTGACGTCGCTTTAATCAGCAGAAAATTCATGCGAATCTATCACACGGATATCCCGATCAGTGCCTGATCTTCGCCCGTGGTTTGACAACGCTCAGTGGACAGATCATCTCCGTTTCAATTCAAGTTGGACGCTACACGGGCTGCCGCAGCGGCGGTGTTCTGGGCCCGGATGTTCCTGCACAATGCTGAGGAGCGACCTGTACAGCAACCGGCTCGGTGAGAACGATTCCGCGAAACCTGCTTCTGTGGAACGGGAAAGAAACCTTCGGTGGCGATCACAAATGCAGCGTTTAACAAGTTCACAGCGTACAACATACGTCACTTTTAAAGTTTTGTCTTGTAAGTTTGTATACACGTGAAACGGGGGATGCAGAATAAGGACACATGTCACTTTAAATTTTTTTTCTGTAATTTGTTATCCAGTATGGAACAATGTGAAATGAGATCGTAGTCACACCTTTGACTTTACAACATGTGCTGGTAATTGTTTATCAGAAAAAGTGAAACCACATGACCTGAATCATTTCATTCCCGTTCTTTGCGGTACGAAAGCCCACAGCTCACGGCTTCTGCGATCTTCGATTTCCTCGTTTTATGATCCTCCAATCAGAAATTATTCCTGATTGCTACGTAGTATAACTCTACATCAAGCAGGTCTAACAACACAGTGAACACCCGAAGCTAAGCAATCCTACAAATCCAGACCATCGACTTGTTATTTATATCAGGAAGTGTATAATATAGAGCATATATATATATAATTAATATTATAAGTATATATATCAAGAGTAAGATAATAACACTGTGTTATATTCTACTCTTGAATATTATATATATATATTATATATATATAATATGATCATTAATATAGATATATATATATAGAGAGAGTTATCATATATATCATCATAACATAGATATCATAGAGATATATCATATAGCGATATCTCTATATTATACACTCCTGATTGTATCATGTCGTTATTTGGCATGATGATTGTTGGCAGGTGGCAGATGAAAGCAATGATAGCGCAGTGTTACTCACCACGCTGGAGAGATGCGCGAGTCCCACTTCTATTCTGAGCGTGATGTCGAGCATCGAAGGTCCGTGGGCTTTCGTGTACTGGCAGGTATACAATATCTATCAGATTTTTTTCTCCATGAAAAAAGTCTTCTGTACATGTATTTGTATTTGAATTACATGCCGTAAAGATTTAATAATAGTAGTACCAGAGTGCAAGCAACGCTTCTTTGTTGTAGCACTCACGTGTGTTTAGTACATGAGTATCAGCCTTCCACGCTTGTCACATTGCATAGGTGTAAACGCACAGAGAGTAGGCCTATGGACTTCCAAAACAAACCCTCTTGGGCTGTGGTGACAGTTTATTAATAATGTGCGCAGATGTGATAATTTCAGAAAGCGTGTTACGTTTTAAAAGTGCGGATGACGTTTCCGGTAACGCATACATTGTGCCTGCAGGTTTTGACCGATATGGAAAGGCTATGGTTTGGTATAGATCATTATGTATAGAGAGGTATAGAACATTATTAACATTGGGCATGTATATAATATCAGGAGTGAATAATAATAGATAAACTATCTAATAATAATAATCTATTATGATTCACTCCTGATAATACGTATGTAAGTGTATAATATATATATATAAGGCATCTATGTATAATATGTATATAAGGCATACATTCTGTGTGCTTTTCGCGTAGCACGATGAGAGGAGACTGTGGTTCGGTAGAGACGTTTTTGGGCGACGCAGCTTGCTCCTCCATCTCCCCGACCACGAAGGAGATCATCTGCAGCTGTGCTCCGTGGCGGAGAAGCCATCGCGTGATTCTCCTACGCACAAGGTAAGCAGCGATTCTTCCGAAGTGATGCCGTTAATGCTGCTGCTGCTGCTGCTACTGCTGCTGGTGGTGATGCTAGTGGTGATGCTGCGGCTGCTGCTACTGCTGCTTGTGGTGGTGATGCTAGTGGTGATGCTGCTGCTGCTGCTACTGCTGCTTGTGGTGGTGATGCTAGTGGTGATGCTGCGGCTGCTGCTACTGCTGCTTGTGGTGGTGATGCTAGTGGTGATGCTGCTGCTGGCTGTAAGCTGGCTGCTTGTGGTGGTGATGCTGGTGGTGATGCTCGCTGGTGCTTGCTGCTACTTGCTGGCTTGTGTGTGGTGGATGCTGGATGGTGATGCTAGTGTGGATGCTGCTGCTGGCTTGTAGTGCTGCTTGTGGTGGTGATGCTAGTGGTGATGGCTCTACTGCTGCTTTAGTGAAGATGCTGCTACTGCTGCTTTGTGGCAGTGATGCTGCTGCTTGCTGGCTACTGCTGCTGCTTCTACCAGCTGCGCGCACTGGTACTGCATGCTACTGCATATTCCAGTTGGCTGCTGGATGCTACTTCTGTGTTCAATTCTTCTGTTTACTGCTGTTGCCATACAACGTTTGGACATCATGCCGTCGTGAACACACTAGCGCGTCTAACGTACGCGTTAGTCCAAGGTTCGTGAAGCTTGGCGCAACGTCATCTACGCGGCTGGATGTTGGCGACGCGACCTTGCGACCGTCTCCGCGCGTCGCAACCTCAACCCGTGGTCACTTCGCAGAGCCCTCCTGCCTGCGACCGTTCCCATGGCGACGACCTCTCCGCGACCTTTCCCGCCTCCGACTTCCTCCCGCTGCGGTTGGTCGTCGGCGAGGCGGTGGCGTCGCGGGTCGGGGCCCCGGAGGCGCGCGTCCCGCTGGCGGGGGACGCCGCGTGGGTTGAGAGGACGGAGGAGGGGCTCCGGAGGGGCGGCGACGGCGTGTCGCTGGGTTCATGCGTCGACGCGGCCGCGCAGACAACCGCGGGGGAGCTGGAGGGGGTGCTGGCGGAGGCCGTGCGGGTACGCGTGCACCGCCAGGGGGCGCCGTGCCCCGCCTGCGCCGCCGCGAGACTCCGCCGGGTGGCAGACGACAATGGGCAGAGCGACGATGCACGTTCGTCAGTCCAAGGACGTGCAAAAGTCGTTTGCGGACACGCCAAGGTCGCGGTGTTGTTCTCCGGTGGTCTGGATTCGGCTGTTATCGCCGCGCTTGCTGACCGGTGCGTAGATGGAGGAAGATCGTTAGATGTTTACCTCGTTGTTTCTCTGTTTTCTGTCGCTTTGTTTAGCCATCGCTCTCTGTTCTTTTTCGCGCTCTCTCTCTCCCCTCTCTCTCTCTTTATCTCTATCTATCTATCTCTCTCTCTCTCTCTCTTTATCTCCCTCTCACTCTCTCCTCCTCTCTCTCTTCTCTCCTCTCTCTCTCCTCTTCATCTACTCATCTGTCTCTCTTCTCTCTCTCTCTCTCTCTCTCTCTCTCTCTCTCTCTCTCTCTCTCTCTGTTTCTCTCTCAATCTCTCTTTCACTCTCTTTCTTTTTCTCTCTTTCTCGCTCGCTTGCTCAGCCCTTTTCATCTTTCCTTGCTCTGTTTCATCCTTCTTCTTGGGCTTCTTAATTATAGGCTTCCCCCTCTCCATTTTGTTCTCATAGTCAAGTTTTATTTCCATTTTTGCACATGCAAGTACACGCCATCTTGTACCCGGTCTCTCTGGTTTCACCCACAATACGTTGTTGAGATATAGTAGTGATAGCAGGCACCTATCAATAGGGCCCATTGTGCTCTACTTACCCTGTACCCCAATTTTAGTCAAAGTATTTCATCATATTGTGTATTTATTTAATATTTAACCGTTCTGTTGCTGTGAGACGGCCATGTGGAAGATAGGTCCGCGCCAATTTATTGTGTCTGTACCTAACATGTTTTACCGTCGTTAAATAAAGTTTTTACTTACTTACTTACTGCAGTAGATGTATATTCTTGCATTCACGCCTACTGTGTGTGTGTGTGTTACAGGTTTGTACCGGCTGGAGAACCTATAGATCTGTTGAATGTTGCCTTTGAGCTGCGAAGCAACAGCGCTGCAAACACAAACGCAAGGAAAGCGAAGAACAAGGTACATAAGGTGTTCGCCATCGATGTTGAAATCGATTGCAGGGATTGGTGTAAAGATCTAGATTCGAGCATAGATAGTAGATACATGCTATGATCAATTGTGTCAAGACTCGATCTAGAGGATTAGTGTTCATGTAATTTTGATACTGTATCTGTGTACAGGCACGCACAGGCAGACGAATGAATGGACGGACATACACACAGACATAAAGACAGACAGACGTACAGACAGGCCGACATACAGACAGATGTTATCAGGAGTAGATAATAGGGAATTCCCTATAATCTACTCCTGAAATGTTATCTACTCTTGGTTGTGAATATGTTGAGTACATGCATTTACATCACTAATGAATATATATATATATATATATATATATACGAGAATAGAAGACCCCTCTATCATAGCCCATGAAAACCCTATATACAAAGCCGCCTCCAAACACTGAACTTGTTGACAAACTTTACAGCCGCGCAGCGAGGAGGAGAGCTCCGAGGGAGATGCCGGCGGGGGCAGTCGGGACACGGAGGAGAGGAACTTTGCGGTTCCCGACAGGGAGACCGGGAAGCTGGTGCTTGGGGAGCTACGGCGTATCTCCCCCACGCGGCCGTGGAACTTTGTGATGATTGACGTCACGAAGGAGGAACTACGGAGGAAGCGGTGGGTTCTCCCCCTCTCCCCCTCTCCCCCCGTCCGTGCATCCCAGTAACCTGCGGTGATAGACGCCCACATAAAGGAAATAAAAACAATAAATACAAAGTATAAGACAAAGACTATAGACTATATAGGAGTATAATTAGAAATAACAAGACGCCATGCAGAGAAATGCAGCGTTGACCCTTGAAACAAATACGATGAATGATAGAGAGAAGGTAATTAATAGAATAAATACGTAAATGGAATGGGAGAATAATCGAAAACTACCTTTACACTGGATATAATGGAAAATTATCCACTCGGCCATAAAATTATCCTTTATTTGGTTTTTTATTTTGTAAATATCTAAAAGAAAAAATAGTATTCCGTTGCTCTTACTTTATTGGATCACCAAATTTTCTTTGCCCCAAAAATTGCCGCAGACAAGGCAAAAATGCCCTCTCTCCAATAATTTGCTCAGGCTATTGTTCGTTTGTATCTCACCAGATGCTTGATTTACAAGTGCACATAGTTGATAAATTATGACTAGACTTTTTAGTTGGTCAATGTTCATGTCATATTGATATAGTTACCTTCGCCCAACGGAGTTGGAGGAGGTTATGTTTTCGCTCTTGTGTGTTTGTATGTTCGCGTGTTCGTGTGTTCGCGCGATCGATATTAGCGCGGCAGTCGATCAATATCACCCAGCGAGCCAGCGAGGCAGCAAGCATGTCGCTGGCGGAGGTATGCACTCTCCGTGAGTGCACTCTGTCTAGTTAATGTATTTGCTGGAGCTCTGTGCGCGTTTATTGGTGGTGGTCACGAGCAAGCGTTTGTAATGTTTTTTGTAATTGTGTTTCCGTCGTTCAGGGCCGAGATTATTTCGCACCTCGTGTATCCGTTGGACACGGTGCTGGACGACAGCATAGGTTGCGCCATCTGGTTTGCTGCTCGAGGCGTGGGACGCGTTGTCATGGAGACGGGTGCGACGGAAATTTACCGAAGCCTGGCCAGGGTATGTACCCCTATATATATATATATATATATATATCTGGAGTAGATAATAGATAACAGATTCTCTATTATCTACTCCCGATATATATATATATATGTATATTGTTTAGCCCTAACCTACAATTAAAATGTACTACATCTATCAGGGTTTTAAGGTAAGTGCAGCAAACAGCAACAACTTCAGGCCAAAAAATTTCTAATAAATGATGAAGCACCAAAGATTTAGTGCGGGCGAGTAAATTTGCTGCCTGCCTTTTTCTCTGGAAGCAAGTAGTTGCTGCCTGGTAAAAATTTCTAACCCCGATCGATGTGTGAACGCTAATATCAATGTATTATCCATTTTATTATTATCGGTCTGTTTTTGACAGGGTTGTTATATAGAGCCTGTATCACTGAGTCTGGTCATGTTTACTTTTTTCGTCTATAGGTGGTGCTAGTGGGCATGGGAGCAGACGAACAGCTGGCTGGTTATTCTCGGCATAGAACGAAATACAGGTTTGTGTGAAAAATACAACTCAGTACATGCACCGCACATTGCCCCCTCCACTCACTCACGGAACCGTTTATAATAACAACAACAACAAATTTCAAGTTTAAATTACATTATAAACTAGTTGTGTGGGAATACATAGTATTTTTATAATACACCTTGGCACAACCGAAAGAATAACAGTACATAATAAGAAACAACAACATTAAGTTTATTATTATTAATAATAATAATAGTAACAATAATAGTAGTATGAGTACATATTTAATAAAACTCTAAACCTGTCAGGATAACTTTCAAACGATGTCTTGGTAGTCTTGAGCACGCTTCACTGATCTGCGTGCACCGGTTCCTATTCACACACTTTCCTAATTCCGTAACATGAGTCTTTTTGAGGCTTGTTCGAGCGCGGCAGCAGCGGACGCGCATATCAGTGATGTGTTTCTGTGTCGGCAGAGAGAGCGGCTGGTCGGGTCTCGTACGCGAGGTGGAGATGGAGGTGTCACGGATCAGCGAGAGAAACCTGGGACGAGATGACAGGTAAGTTGCACCTGTTCTCACCTGTTCTCGCATGTTCTCGCCTGTTCTCACCTGTTCTCGCCTGTTCTCGCATGTTCTCACCTGTTCTCGCATGTTCTCACCTGTTCTCACCTATACTCGCATGTTCTCACCTGTTCTCGCATGTTCTCACCTGTTCTCGCATGTTCTCACCTGTTCTCACCTGTTCTCACCTGTTCTCACCTGTTCTCACCTGTTCTCATCTCATGCTTGCAGTACTGCTCTCGTATCACTGTTGAACGAATGTAGTTTTAGCAGGAAAACTGGAAACAATATGTGTGATATATATACATATACACGAAAACCCATATATATATTTGTTTGTTTGTTTATATACATGGAGTTTCGTGCGTTCATGTGTTAACTAACATCAGCAATACCTTGACTTGTTACAGAATCATCTGTGATCACGGCAAGGAGGCAAGGTTCCCCTTCCTCGATGAAAATGTTGTGTCTTTCCTCAACTCACTGCCCATGTGGAAAAAGGTGTGTGAACACATATACGGACAGATAAGTCGTTTGTTGTTTATATAATCGACAACAGACTTTTCAACAGTGATAGTTGATGATGTCAACAGATCTGTGTGGTGATTGTTTCTACGCGATTATGTTTTTAAAAGAGGATGTGTTTGATCAATTTTTGAAATAGTTAGCATTCTTTTATCAGTACAAATTTCACCAGCAAAGTTTCTATAATGTAAATGTTCAACCTTTTCTCTTCTCATTCTCGCTCACTCTTCCGCTCAGTTCTCACTTTCCCTTACCCGTCATTCATTCTCACTCTTTCTAGAGCAACCTAGCTCGCACTGTGTATTGCAAATTGCCTTCCATTCTTAGATTTTCCCACGTAGAGAAGATATGCGATTATACGTATAAACCATTTACTCCATGTGTAATATATATATCTACTGAGATGTATACACATAATTATTATATACATAAATATAGATATGTATATATACATACACACACATATACATAGATTCATACCTACATACATACATTCATATATGTGCACCTTCTCTCTCTCCGGCAGGCCCTCCTCTCTCTCCCGCGGGGCGTCGGGGAGAAGCTGCTCCTGCGGCTCGTCGCGGAGAATCTCGGGCTTCCTCTCGCTGCGCGGCTTCCCAAGCGAGCAATCCAGTTCGGCTCTCGCATCGCCAAGCTGGAGAACAGCAGGGAGAAAGCCTCGGATGTGTGCGCTCGCTTAAAGACAGAGAAGGAGAAAGGAAAGGAGGAGGAGGAGGGGAAAGCCTCAGACGTGTGCGCTCGCTTAAAGACAGAGGAGGAGGGGGAGGAGGAGGAGGAGGGGAAAGCCTCGGATGTGTGCGCTCGCTTAACGACAGAGGAGGAAGGGGAAGAGGAGGAGGAGGGGAAAGCCTCGAATGTGTGCGCTCGCTTAAAGACAGAGAAGGAGGAGGGGAAGGAGGAAGAGGAGGAGAAAGCCTTAGACGTGTGCGCTCACTTAAAGACAGAGCAGGAGGAGGGGGAGGAGGAGGGGAAGGAGACCAGCAGGGAGAGGGCCTCGGATGTGTGCGCTCGCTTAAAGACAGAGAAGGGAGAGGGCCTCGGATGTGTGCGCTCGCTTAAAGACAGAGAAGGAGGAGGAGGAGGGGAAGCCTCAGACGTGTGCGCTCGCTTAAAGACAGAGGAGGAGGGGAAGGAGGAGGATCAGAGGGAGGGGGTGGAGGCTGCCTGTGATCGATGAGAGGTCTGGAAGAACTGGGGCTTCTTCTTGTTTTGTTTTTGTTTCCTTGTCCACATTGCTACACGCCGTTGTTTTTGTTTCTGTTGCTTACGTGCTACGTATTGTCGTTCCTGTTGTTTCTGTTGCTTACGTGCTACGTATTGTCGTTCCTGTTGTTTCTGTTGCTTACGTGCTACGTATTGTCGTTC